AGTCTTGGGTCTTAATCCAGACCTAAAATATGCGAAGGTTTCTCTATAATCACTGTTACTTACATTTTCTTTGAGAACCCATATGCATCATTGTATACTCACAAGTCACCAGAAATTTTGATACACTGAAAATTGGATATTTGGTAAACATATAACTGAATAACCATATTGCTAACTGAAAGATTGTATAACTGGTAACTGAGATAAACTGATAACCATAAGACATGATAATTGCTTTTGTACTTTCTGATAAGGTTATGCTCTAATATGTACTACTATCCATTGCATCACACTTTTAATGTCCTCTCAAGTCTCATATTTACCAACATGTACTCCATAATTATACTCCAATGGGCAATTATCCTCTCTAGGACCTTAGGTTTCTCCTGCGCGTCACTTGGGCATCCAATACATTTGGAATTCGATAGGAAGAGAAGGTTACCTTTTGCTATAAGCTTCGTGTCACGATCTAGAGTAGAAATAAGTGAGACAATCCTAGATGTCTTGGTAGTTAACCGTTTATATGAGTGGTCGGCACACACATATAAAGGAAACTCCACTAGACATGGCTTCATAGACTCCCTAGCACTCTTGAACCTAGTGCTATGATACCAAGCTTTGTCACACCCCGAACCTGGGCCTGGACATAACACGGCACTCGGTGCCTGACTACATGTGACCGAGCGAACCAACTGTCTGGTTGAATCAACATGTGATATCATAACATACGGAATGCGGAAGATAAACTAACACATGCTGATATACTGAAAGCCTGGATGATATAAATTAAAGTGCGGAAATACTAATACAATTCTGAAACATATTTGTAGCCAACGTAGCTTAACATGAAAAGCCTGAGACTCTGTCTAACTGTTACTCTAGTCTATGAAGCCTCTATTGAAGTACTGAAAACACTAACTATCTGTAAATACTGAAAGGTTGTAAAGTAATGATAATGCCTCGAAAGAACTGGGGATCACCAAACAGCTGATACGAGAGTCCTAGCACTCTAAATCGTCAACCTGTAAATCATTACCTGCATTGTGAGATGCAGGCCCCGGGCAAAAGGGACGTCAGTACATTTGAATTACACTGGTATGTAAAGCAACTGAAAGAAAGAATTATAAATGCTGAAATTGATACTGAGCTGATAACTGAGAATTGATAATTGATAACTGAAGCAATAACTATTGAAACTGAAACTGAAATGATAACTGATAGCTGATAACTGAAATGTTAACTGATAACTGATAACTGTGATAACTGAACTGAACAAAGGAAGTAAGGTTATGAATACTCCCTCTTCTGAATGATGAACAACCTGTTTATCTGAATAAGCTACAGCCTCGGGCCCAATATATATGTGCACAAGCTACAGCCTCAGGCCCAAGTATACGTATACATAACTACGGCCTCAGGCCCAAAAATGCATAAAGCATAAACTACGGCCTCAGGCCCAAACATGTATAAAGCATAAACTACGGCCTCAGGCCCAAACATGCATAAAGCATAAACTACGGTCTCAGGCCCAAGTATGCATAAAGCATATAAACTACGACCTCATGCCCAAATACAGATGTTCAATATTCAGGAACTGAGAATCAAACTGCAATACATGATAGTGAAATACTGAATCACACTGAGTTACATGATACTGGAATACTGGATCACACTGAGTTACATAATGCTGGAATACTGAATAGGACTAGACTGAGACATATATTCTTGAATTAATTATGAACACTGAAACTTCAACTGTTTATGGCATACTGAGTAATCTATACTAAGATCGGGGGCATCAAACCCAAGTCTATATTGAGTACGCACTGAGCTCACAACGTTCAGAATGAAAGTGGTGAACGAGTTATGAAGCTAGAGAATAGAAGTTCTACAACTATTCAAGGAACTAGGCTTAACTATATTTGTGAGGCAATTGATACGTCATAAAAAAAAAACGTAGTGTAGGGAGAATCATTAACATTCCCAAACATAGAGAGTTAGCCTCACATACCTTAACTTCCTGCCTTGAGCATAATACAACATTCGCCAACCCTTTCAACTTTAATCTATAGCATTACAAGTCAAAGGGATTCCAAATTGGCAACAATACTCATGTTTTGGTCACTTAAGCATTTTATCAAACACTTGGTGGCATAAAGCTTCATAGCCCTTATTAATGGTGTCTCTACACCCAATAACCCATTCTCTTGCTTCTAGATAAATTCTAAAGTCTCAAATGATTATAATCAACATCATTCTTTATCACCCATAAGGTAAACAACACCCTTAACCAATAATCAACAATCAACACCCCAAACTTATAACCGTTCATGCTTTTCTATCAAACCCATCAACTTATATCTCATGAACTAGAGTCTATAATCATTAATCTAATGCTAGAATCAATTAGAGGGTGAACACATTACCTTTTTGAAGTTCAATCCCCTTGAATTCGAGTTTTAGGGTTTCTTCTCGCAACAACGATGTCCCAATCGAATATCTAATGATATGGAGGGTTTACCCACGTTAATAAGATGTTGGGAAATTAAAATTAACTTAGAATCACCATTAGAACTTACCTTGGGTGGTGGAGGGACCTTTAAGGAGTTAGGTTTTTGAGAGCTTCCCTTTCTAGAGCAAGTTTTTATGGTTTGGGGCTGTAGGGGATGAAATAGGGCTAAACAATAACTTCCCAAGTCGGCCACCACGTCCCAATAGGCCTGACCGCGGTCCCAACCACGGTAAATAGCTGGAGCACTGCCTCACGACCGCAGTCGCGGTGAAACGCGGCCGAACTTGGTGGTTACGTACTGTTCTGTAAAATGGGCATAACCTTTTGCACAGAGCTCCGTTTGGGCTCCACAATATATCATTGGAAAACTATTTCAAAGGCCTACAATTTTTATGCTTTGAGTTTTCCCAAAGTCTTTACAGATTTTCAATAAAACCTTCTGGAAGACGGACCTTCTGCAAACTTAATCGATTTTGTTGAATCTTATGCACCTCACTCTCCGTCTTGATTCCAAAATAACTATTTTCACCCATAATCATCCCGCTAGGACTTCATATGTCTAAAATATCAAATTAATACTCATTTAACATATCCACATCTAGTCCGAATGTACGGAATGTTACAGCCGAATAAATATATATTTTTGTACATATATACATTTATGTATGTTATAAATAAAAACTATACAAATTTTATATAATTTTGCAGCTAGGGGTGTACAGAGGAAACTAACAAACCGCACCAACCCGATAATCCGATTCAAACCGAGAAAAAAAATCCGACTATGGTCTGGTTTGATTTGGTTTGGTGTTGGAAAAGAAAACCCGACCATAATTGGTTTGGTTTGGTTTTAACTAAAGAAAGTCAAACCGAAACCATACCAACCCGATATTACATATCTAGAATTTTTGATATATTTAATATATAAATATACTTATTGTGATATAATTTCTAAATATTTCTTAAACTTTTTCATAATTTTATCTTTTAAGGTATTATTATTTCAAGGTTGAACTTAGAACTTTTAAATGTTCTAATAAGTTTATAGCCATTAATATTAGTAATTTAAATAATGCTAACAAAAGCCCAAACACAAAAGATATTCAATTCAATACTAGGAACGACAATGTATTGAATATCTATTTTTTGTTTTAATGATTTAGATAAAAATGCATAACTTATTTTTATTTTTTTCTTTAGCGTTTAGTCATGTAATTAATACTCCCTTATTAGTCTACTTATTTTAGCATTACTTAGTACTTTATATTATGCTTATTTTTATTATGGCTTTTAAATTAGCAATATTTATATTACACAATTTTATTGTCTTTATTGTTGAATATTTTAGAATAATGCCGTGATACATCTCATATTTTGTATTATTTTCTTGAAAAATACCTTATATATTTGTATCTTACTAGGATTAAAGAAATATTTTGAGCACAAGTTATATGTTTTGTGCTACAAATATTTTACCGAATAAAAACCCGAATAACCCGAAAACCCGAGAATACCGAGATTGAAAAACCCGAGTTTTATTGGTTTGGTTTGGTTTGGTTTTTAAATTTAATAACCTGACACAATTGGTTTGGTTTGGTAATTGCAAAACCCGAATCAACCCGACCTATGTACACCCCTATTACAGCTACCGAATGTAAATAATTTCAGCCGCAGGCTAAAAGCGATAGTTAGCCTAACTTATTCCACCTTCTATATGGATAAGTTACATCAAGATTTTAGTATAAAAATAATACCGATAGCTAATACATCTAACTAAATATGGAACAAAATTCAACTAAAATTTTATGGGCATAACCCACCTAATCCCTTAAACCAAACGGCTTAAAGGTATTCATTGTTGGGATGACGGATTTAAGACGAGTAGGTCAAGGGACAAGAGAAGTGTAAAGATCATTGAATTTTCAATCTTCTTTTTCCACAACTCAATCAACTAATAGTGGATCAACTATATGAACTCCCAATTTTGTATCAACTATATTAATTCTCATTGTTTCTGCTGCTTGATTTAAACCCAATCCAAATAATTGTATCTTAAAAAAATCAGGAGTCACCAACAGCAGTCATTCACCAACTGCATTAACCGATTTAGTTTCTGATATTAACTGTTTTGAAATTTTATTTAGCGTCTTAAAAAATTTATGAGTATACAATTTTGATTCTGGCCTGAATGACATCTCCAAGCTACAAACTTTTTAATGTCTGCAAATTTTGGGTTTATGGAGCTAAATCAGGCGGGGGTGACAGTAAGTGACAATTTTTGTATATAACATACAAAATGTATATATATACCAAAAATATACGAATTTTATACATTTTTCGGCTATTATTTTTTCAGCGGCTATACAGTATCATTTTTCTAACACAATTCTCTATTCCAATATGCTTGCACAAGGTTGAAACGAAAGCTCCATAAGGACTAAGGTCAAGTCACAATCTACAAAGAAAGAGAGAAAGAAACCGCAGAGCATGATCTAAAAAGAAATTAGTGCTGAATCCAAGAAGGGGAAGTCGTTCGCTGGAATATTACATTTACTCAAAACTCAAGATGCATAGAAAACACAGAATAGAGCAAGCAAAAAGGGCCATAAAAGATTGGAAGAAGCTAGGCAAATCTCATCTCAAATATCTGAGGCTTTTTTACCTCTTGCGGCGATCTTAGCCATATTGTACAAAAAGTATCAAGCTCCTGATGCAACGCAATCAGGGAGGCAGGATTTACAGAAGTTCGACTTGGACAGGATGTTTCTCCTCCCATGTCGACTGCAGAAGTGCATACAAACATCCTCATTTCACTATGATCTGTGCAAATCATGCCAAGTATTTGAACAAGTTCGGGTTATCTTTGTCTCTCTCTAGGTAATCTCTAGTTATCAAATCTTCAATTCTCTTCTTGATAGCTTTGACGTCAGGCTGAGGAGTTTTTGAAACAAAGAAATTAGCTCAGCTAAACTTGAATAACAAACACTATAATTGAGTAGGAAAAGAACTCATCATGTGGATACCTTGAACATGCGTCCCAACTGCTCAACACACTCCATGACTAGTTGCTGGTAGCCCAATACTTTACGACTCTTCATAATACGCACAATTGAAGCATCTATAGCATACCGCCTATCCTTGTCAACATCTTCAATTACCTTTTTCTTCTCATCCACGGGCGGGAGAGGTATCTGCATTATCATTACACCAAAACCCTCACAGTTCAGTAACGTCAACTCATAATAGAAAGGTTTAACTTAACTCGTCACTAATTATACCTTGATCCTCCTCATTTTGTCAGTGAACTTTGAGTTGAACTCAAAGACATCAGTTGGAGAAATCATTTTGGTGCTTGGCTCCTTGATTAGAATCTTATATTTCGCACATGAAAGAGAATGAAGAAGCCGAACAACATCATCATCTGATAG